GGGAGCTGTGTGCGTGTGTAATGCTTACCTCTATTCAAGTATTATTGGTAATGTTTAGAAAGTATTTATTTTTAATTATTTCACTTGTATGTTAAAGAAAAGAAGAGTAGGTAGGACCGGGTGGTAACACTTTTAAATAACATAACATTACATCACGCCTTTTATCCTTGATGGGGTAGACAGAGGTGCACATTACGGCACTTAATGCCATTGCACAATTTAACACCCACTTTTCACTATTTATGTTACGAGCCCCATGTAATAGGGGATGAATCTATTGCTGTATATACGGGGCATAATTTCAGACTCCGTGCTACTATTGAAATTTTTTTTAAATCCATTTGCCCGACCCTGGAATCGAACCCGAGAGCCCTTGCCCTTGCAGTCACATTAGGCAGTAACACTTTCAAATAAACTTATGTAAACTGCAAAGTCACACTTGCCAAACAATTAACGTGGAGACAATATGATAAACCTTCTTTTACATAGAAGGCCCATAATGATATAGTAGTAAACTATCACTAATAACGATGACGGTGGCAATGACAAGGACATACTCAAGTCACTTTTTAAACCTTTTAAAACCAAACAAATCTCCAAGCAAAACCAGTCCGTCTATCGCCTCTCAGATCTAAAGTTACAAGTGATAAAACGTTCGCTAAACTCGTACTTTACGTCCATTTTCTGTCTTCAAACAATTAATTAAACTTGTATCGTCGATTAATGATATCTAATAAAATCTTATACTCGTTCAAAGGTGTCCAAATAACAATAAGATGGGCTATAAAATTGTTCGCTCATTAAGGAAGAGTTTGAACTGCTTCGACGATTTATTTATTAGTATAAATTATTTAAGATAAAGGAATGACATTGCGGTTTTATTTGGTACTTGGTTGTGTGTTTTGGTTCATAATCTTGTTACATGTATGTTTAGTCTGTATTAACATCACTAAGTAGTGGCCCCCCACACTATAATGTGTTACATAAGGTAGGACACTCGTTATTAACGTTGCTGTCTACCCGTCATAATCTAGTGTGTGTACACGCCATGCGCCCTGTAATAAATCCAATAATTTGGTAATCCACCAACAGAACAACTCTGACGGAGTTCATAATGACGGTGTAATACAAATATTTTTCGCCAGTTACATCATCGGTGTCATAGATTTTTATGGTATAAACCGGTAAACGACCAGACGTTTCACCTGATGGTAAGCATCGGCGCTACCTATGGACACCCGAAACGACAGAGGCGTTACAAGTGCGTTGCCAGCCGTTTGAGGATTAGGAATTTGAGGATTGTTGGGGAGATTTGGGAGCCTGACTCACACTACGAAACATAACACAAGCGTTGTTTCACGTCGGTTTACTGTGAGGCCGTGATATCACTCAAGTCGAACCGGCCTATTTGTGCCCAAATATGGGTCATCTACCACAATTCCAAAAAAGGTGAGGCGTCCTGATACGGACATTTGAAGGTTCATAATGAGTTTCGACTATTATATTAAGTATATGCTCTTCTGCTTACCTTCAAATTGATCATGTTACTATTTTTATGTTTATAGCAACAGTACCATCACTGAGCAATTCCAAACAATGCTGATTCTTCATCAGTTTATACATATTCGTGGAAGCTATTCAGTATTTTTATTACCTCACATTACGACTATGACCGAAGTCGGTGCTTCAGAAATAACCGCCAGTGAACAGCTTGACACATGATAAAATTGATATTAACTGTTTGAACTTCAACCTCTTTAGTTGCGACTCGAGTTTTTATAGATACTGCTTGCGTAAAAATGTATTATACTACTTTAAAATTAGCCTTTATCAGATTTTACGAAGTATGTTGATACTACTTCTGATAAATCATAATATTATTGATGTTTTTTATTTTTTTATGGCATAAGCTGGTAAACGAACAGACGGATCACCTGATGGTAAGCAATCGGCGCTGCCCATGGACACCTGGAACACCAAGGCATTTCAAGTGTGTTACCGGCCTTTTTGGAATTGGGAATTTGAGGATTGTGGAGGATTCAGAGATTCGGGAGACTAAGGATTAATTACGGGACGTAATTGGGCCTCCGGTTACCTCACTCACCCGACGAAACACAACGCAAGCGTTGCTTCATGTCGGTTTTCTGTGAGGCCGTAGTATCACTCCAGTCGAGCCGGCCCATTCGTGCCGAAGCATGGCTCTCCCCACTCTTCCACACTGTTGCCACAACTTGCCATATACAGGTGTCCAGTAAATAGAGGTAGTGCACCATACTGTAAGGGGTGGTAGATGGGAACACAGTACATTGGGTTGTATAGGTAGGTACTGATCCCAGCTACCACCCTTTACAGTACGGTGCACTATTTACTAGACACCCTGTAAAATTAAGGTAGGTAACTGATTAAAAGAAAATATTTTAAGGAAACGAGTAAATCAGGCGATGGATCACGAAATGATCAGCGCTGTCCAAGGACAAACTTCTTATCAGACTGATGTACATATTTTGCATTTCTAAAACTATTTTATACACTATTCATGTCTTCTTCTAAGCACAAAACTTATAGCGCATACATAACATGACATCACGCCTTATATCCCCGAAGGGATAAGCAGAGGTGAACATAATGCCACTGTACAATGTAACATCCACTTTTCACTATTTATGTAATGAGTCCCATATAATAGGGGGTGTGCCTATTGCCATATACCGGGCATATCCAGACTCGGTGCTAATACTGAGATTATTTGAAAACTCAGAAATACTTTGCCCGACCCGGGATTCGAACCCGAGACCCTTTGCCCGGCAGTCGCACTTGCAACCACTCGGCCAACGAAGCAAGCAGTTTAACTTATTACTCATGTTATACCTTAATACATTTTATTACATATTGAAATAATTTACTTTCAATTTACTTTGAAAAGTAAACAATCCAGTTCCGTAATGTTCCCCGTATGTATATTTATCACTAACAATACGTGTAAATCTGTTAGCTCATTAACACTGGCGTTGCCTTTGAAGCGATAAACTGTAAAGCTTTAAATACTTTAATTTGACGATTTATCTATTCCTGTAAAATGTGGAGGGTCAAAGATTAAAATATTCTTCAGACATTTTATTTTTGAAAACTTTACACTACCTAAAATAATTTTTTCGTCTTGAGTCGTGAGTACGTTTACAACATAGGTATGGAGTCAAAGTCAAAGTCAAAATCATTTATTTCAATTAGACCAGGAAGGCACTATTGAACGTCAACAATAAAAATTTAAAAGTGAAATTATTTGCTCATTCCACGGTGTAGATTCCTATGGAGAAGAACGAGCAAGAAACTCCTTTTCCAATCACGTTCACAATACAATCCTCCAGTTACAGTTTTATTGGTTCGATTGTGCGAGAACAATGTAACTCCAAAATCCAGTCAAAGAGATCGAAAAAGAAAATACCCTAAATATAATATCACATGCATTAATAATATACCCGGACAGCCAGTCATCCAACCACTGCGTGCAATATAGAGGTATAAGAATAAAATAAATAAGGTAAATTTTTATTTAACAATTATTCATTTTATGTACACACTTTTTGTGTGCATACGTATAATAATAATTTATTAGCTATTGATTCAAGTGATAATAAACACGATCATTGAACTTAATATTCTAGGTTAAATATAAAATACTAGTAAAATTTTAAATTCTGAATACATAATTATGTTTTAAAACTTTAGTAAATATATAAATAACTTAAAATGATCAAATTCCATTTAGAAATCAAGTCATGTGAATTTATTTTCACTATAGGATACATATTAACAAACAAAACTAAACTTAGTCTTTGCCCCAAAATTACACTAAATCGTCCGTTAACTCGACACAGTTGATTGACATTTTTAATTAACAAATCCCGTTTGGGACGTGCAGTACGCACATTATTTCTTTAATGGTCCCGCCGAATGATCGATTGTCTGGGTTCGGGATCACTCGCCAGATTCGGCAATCGCACCAAAAAGTTTCAATCCCACGTTGTAAATTCTTTGTCTTTTTTTATCTGTGTCGTTTAGTGCCGCGTTCTTAATTTGAATATTATTTCAATTTATTTTACTACCTATTTTATTAAATCCTCTTTTTTCTTAACTTTATTGGCAATTCGTATTCATTGACGCTTCTATTCTTTTTATTTTAAAAATAGAATGTTTGTTGTCGGATCATAATATTTAGTGAAATGTCCTCCATTATTGTCTCATTCGATCCATTGAATACTTTGAACACGTCTAAATCTCCTAGTTCTTTACGACGGACTTTTACAAATCTGTACAAAAATGGTCCACTAGTAAACAGTTCTCATGTTCTATGGTAATGCACCTATGTCCGGGAGGTACTCGGCTTATTTTATTCAAATAACCTGACCAACCCACCACTCGTACCTCGACATCTTTAGTTACTAAAACTGGATCTGTTATTCTCTATCCATTGACGCTTACCCTTGATTACTTGACTTAGGTTAATGAGAGTATGCGGCAATGTATTTGTAACATTGGAATTATGTAGTTTTTTTAAGATTTCTGGTTACAATTCTACATCTTCGAACTAACATATACGTTTTGGTATTATTTTAATTCTCTCATACATATTTAGAGGTTCTGTAACGCGTTGGTCACGATTCGTTTGACGTTTTAAATTATACGTACAATTATTTTTATTTAAGTAATTTTGAGTTTGTGAATGCATTCGTTACGTGAGCTGGATGAAGTTGAATTAATAGTCTGTGGTTTGTTAGTTATGGTGGGATTTAAGGAAATATGTTCAAGTTTAAGGGGTACTTTCTCTGTCAATGTTTCTAGTACTTTTGGGTCAATTTATTGCTTAACGTAGATGTGTGATAGTCGGGGAATTCACAAGACTATGTATCAGGAGATGAATGACTTTTGTCAACAGAATAACACAAATGACTGCCTCGTTGGTCGAGAGGTCGCAAGTGTGACTACCGAGCAAGGGATCTCACGTTCGATTCCCGGGTCGGGTAAAGTATTACTGGGTTTTTAATTCCCAGTAGTAGCACGGAGCCTGGAATTGTGCCCGGTATATGGCAAAAGGCAATAGGCCATTACACGGGACTCATAACATAAATAGTGAAAAGTAGGTGTTACATTGTACAGTGGCATAATGTGCACCTCTGCCTACTACTCCGGGGATAAAAGGCGTGTAGTGACGTTATGGTTATGTTATAAATAACGATATTTATTATTTTTTAACTACTAAATTAAATACAATATTTACGATTTATAATTATACTAGCTTTTACCCGCGGCTTCGCTCGCGTCACAAAAGGATATAAAGTAGCCTATGTGACATATACCAATACATACAGCGCCATCTATACCAATAATTTCGTTTTCCCTCGAGAATATCAAATTTTTCCGGGATAAAAAGTACCCTATTATTTAATCCAGACTTCTAACTTCACGTCTGCAAAAATTCAAAGCAATCGGTTGAGTAGTTACGGCGTGAAGGTGGAACAAACAAACAAACTCACTTTCAGATTTATAATATTAGTAAGGATTATATAACTTAACCTTAACTTATATTATATAACTTGGAACTGCTTTTAAATCGCGGTTAACTAAGTTATCCTACTGTTTAACGGCGAATCGATTTTAATAATATTATTCAAATACATTTACCAAAGTTAAAGTTAAGCTTAACTTTCTATAGCATTTTAATCTCGTGTCGAATCGAATGTAAATTAACTACTTATACCATATTTTAACATAACGCTTTGAAGGAGTAGGTTAGGTAATATTTTATTTCCAGTAATTTATTTTAAACATATTTAAGTACATATTCCCAAAAAATATACATATCATTTCGTCTTTTTCACAATTATTTATTTATAACATAACGTCACGCCTTTTATAGTCGACGGGGAACTTCAACGGGGACGGGGACGTCGACCGAGTGGTCGCACTGACCGAGTGGACAGCCGGGCAAGGGGTCTCGGGCTCGATTCCCGGGTCGGCTAAATTATTATTGGATTAAAAAAAATCTCAGTAGAAGCATGGAGTCTGGAATTGTGCCCGGTATATGGCAATAGGCTCACCCCCTATTTACATGGGACTCATCACAGAAATAGTGAAAAGTGAGTGTTACATTATACAGTGGCATAATGTGCACATCTGCCTTCCCCTTCGGGGATAAAAGGTGTGATGTTATGTAAAGCTATGTTACATTAGAAAATATTTATCAAAAAATGAAAGAAAAAAAACTTGGGATTCGTTTCTTTGGTCCTAAGTGTATTATGTAGGTACCTGATTCATACATGATAATATTTACATTATTCAAACACACTTACCAAACGATACTTCGAAGCTTAAGTCCCCAACTTATAAATCGAATTTAAATGAACTACCATCTTATACGTATTTAAATATACCGATTGGAATTAAATGATCATCGACAGTTCTGTTTCTTTGAGATTAAATCTGAGATTCCAATTAAATTACATTGAGGTCAGTGAGACATATTTGAGATTGAGATTGCGGCGTATTACTGACAAGGAGTAGAGATAACATTATTAGGTAGCGGTGGTATTTGTTTGTGAAAGAGCCAGGCTATTTAACTATGAATAAAATGCTTCTGTTATTTTATCAAGCGACTTCGAAAGAGGTGAAGTTATCCTTATTTGTTTTAAATACTGTTTTGTTTCGATATAATGTTCAATTTTTAAACTTTGAGGCGATTAAGTAAAGAACTTTTAAATTTGAAAATTGTCAATAAAGCAAGAAAAATCGAAAGAGAAAGCATTTATTTGACAATCAGGCACACAAATACAATAGGCTCATACATAACATAAATAGTGAAAAGTGGGTGTTACATTTAACAGCGGCATTAAGTGCCGTAATGTGCACCTCTGACTACCGGGACCTTCGGGGATAAAAGGGGTAATGTTATGTTATGTGAAATACAAAGATTAAAAAAAATACTTATATCATAAAAAATAATAAACTTAAAAGTAAAGAAAAGAATTAAAAAACAATAAAGAATGACTAAATATGTACAATACAATAATAACAGAATTTAGATAATAAAAAAAAAACTATAGTCGAATTATGTCTTCTTAGTTTTTCTGTGAGGCTTCGTCTACATACTCTAAAGAATAAAAAAAAAATTAGCCTATCATCCTTCTACTACCTCTTTATCAGACATCAATGACAACTTCCTAAGGCAATCAGATATTCAGTCACAAACAAGAGGAATCTATATATATAAAAGAAAGTCGTGTTAGTTACACCACTTATAACTCAAGAACGGCAGAATAGATTTGGCTGAAAATTGGTAGGGAGGTAGCCTAGAGCCAGAAAACCGACATAGGATACTTTTTAACCAAAATATATTTTTACTTTTTTCCGAAAATCACGAACGGGGTCGTCGGGAAAAAATGGGATGGTACGCGTACGAAGTCGCGGGCAGAAGCTAGTTACATATATAATCGTTTATCAACACTTTTAACAAGCTATCGTTCATAACTTTTATAACTCTTCACACAAACTGCCCAGAAGATGACAAAAAACATCAAATCTTTCATACAACAAAAAAAAACTATAACAAAAGAGATAATATTACAAGCATGCTGCACTATTCCACTATTCGTAGCAAGAAGCAAAACTATTTCAAAAGTGCGTGTCCATAACTATTATAGTTTTTTTTTTCAATTCGCCACGCGCAATAATTCCTGTCCATCGCCTCTACAGTGGAACAAAGTGTGCCTTTTTTACATATCTCCTTAGATCAAAGCCACCGAACTTTTTGGTCATTGTGTAGACAGATTGCAGTAAGTTTAGTCTGTTAAAGTAAGTAGGTAAAGAAAGAAAGAAAGAAAAAAGGTACTACTTTGAAATTGAGTAGTTGTTAGAGATTGCAAGTTTTAATGAGTAGATAGTTAATATGGAATGTTTTCAGTGTTTGGAATGTTAAATACTTTTAAACATTTTTTAAATATTTTAGTGTATTTTAGTTTTTTTTAACTTAAAAAAAAATGACATTTTTGTATATTTTCAGTTCAGTTGCTATTGTTATCACAACCTTTTAATATTCGCAGAAATAAATGACAGTCGAAAATAGACACCACACAACGCATCTTTTAACGAAATTCCTTTACTTTGTAACATAACGTGAACCTTCTGCGCATATTTGTAACGTAGCTTAACAGAAAAAAAGTCGCAAATGCGATTTAAATTTTAATTTGAGCCCCAGTTTTTTGGTGGCACGCCTCCACAATCTATTATTGTAACCGCGTGGTAGGTCGTTATTATAGTTTAAACGATTTTAAGTTTCTTCTTGTGAATAATAAACTCATTATGTTCGTGCGATTTTCAATGATTTGATTAAATCTAAAGTTTATCCTCTATTTATTAAACAGATGTTTTATATTCAACACATATATATACTCTTTAGAATGCTAATAATGTAAATATTATGTAAACTATTGTAATAAATGTCAGGGCGGTGAGGCTAATGATTTACTTCATATATAAAAATACCAGGTGTTAAAAAGTAGTCACATATTATAATATTTTATTTAATTAAGTGTGGGAGAGCCATGCTTCGGCACGAATGGGCCGGCTCGACCGGAGTGATACCACGGCCTCACAGAAAACCGACGTGACACAACGCTTACGTTGTGTTTCGACCCTATTCTCCCGAATCCCCGAATCCTCCACAATCCTCAAATTCCCAATTCACAATAGGCCGGTAACGCACGTGTAACGCCATGATGTCCATGAGCGGCGCGATTGCTTACCATCAGGTGATCCGTTTAATTTTTTAATAATACCCAAACACCAAGAAGACGCCATTAAAACACATCTTCTTAATGATAATTCTCTTATAAACTGTTTTCGTTTAAATAAACCAACTTCAACCACCTTTTTTTTAGATTTGGGTAATTAATGTGGGTACAAAAACCTTCTCGTAGTTGTAACAAAACCTTTTATGAAAAAAGCATGAAAATTGGTTCAGCCATTCGCGAGATAATAATGCACATACAGAAATACATAGGTACAGGTTAAAAACATAATCTGTTCTGAAGTCCATTAAAAATAAATAATTAAAACCTTTGAAACACTCAATAAAGACACGCCCACGTTACATAATCATCACTTAATTAAATAAATAAACTTTTAATTTAACGAACTTTCGAACGTTCCACTAATCATGTTAATTAATCTAACATTCTTAACAGATCATTGGTTAGAGTATTTAAAAAGCAGTTTTCACTGTGGTCTTTGCTTTATCTTCATGTAGTTGGAACCACACACATTTCACCACGCCTTTGGTAACATGTACCTAGTTGTAGGAAAAAGTGTCTCTATTAATTAAACTTTTCGGCAACAATAAGTTACAGGTAACAGAATATGAATACCGGGCACCATTTCAGAATCCAAATAGGTACCTACTTTTATATACAACTATCATGAGATGTATTAAATTACCTAAAAATCACAAGTTACTACACGTAAATATACTGAGAAAAATCTCTATTAATTTCGAGTCACAGGGATTCTTCGTCATAAGCAGCGTGTGAGGTCGCGGCGACGTCGCGCAACCTACACAGTAAACCTGTGATATTTTAGTTAATTCTGCTAACAATTTTTTTTTTGATGGGCGATATCATCCTATGACTATTCCCACCCGTATGAGGCGAGACGGAGTGTCAGACTGTTACTGACTAAAAACCACCCCGATACTACTTTTGCATTTCGAGCCGGAGCCCCGGAAACCCGTTAAGTCCTCCACAATTCCATAAGCCCGCCGCGGCTCCTACTTAGATCTAAAATCAATCTTCTTACAAATGCAGTTCACGAACTTGTATCTTGGTTTTGAGAGTGTCCATGAATGGTACCGATTGCTTACCACCAGGAGATCTCTCTTCTCTTCTTCATCCCAAAAGAAACCTTAAAAACTCTATTTATAATACTTTTGCATACCTAAGATTGGAAACTGATGATTTGACTAA